TAAGATTTTTGTGAAAACATGAAATGGCTACTGCCTGGTTGTAATTATTAACCCATCAATACAGCGCTTAGTCAGAAAAGTTTAGTGTTAGATGAACAGATGAGCCTATTCACATCTCAAAGTAAATAGGTTCATAATGCTCTGAGCCAACTCACACAATTAAATCTAAGAATTCACGAGGGAAGGGAACAAATAAACAGGTTTAAAATAGACAGGGAACATCAACAGAAGCCCATGACGAGCTCAATTTTTAAATATTTCAGCAAGGACTTCCAAGTGAGCTATTTTCAGCTTCAATTCATAATTTAATGCTCACGTTTTTCCTCCCAGAAACCTTGAAACCTTCCTCATACTAAGAAAAAAGGAAAGAAACCAGAAAAGATGATCCAATGTTTGTCTTTTCAACAAACCGATCTTAGTAAGACACATTATCTTTTTATAAAGACTTTCTTCCGCAGCCAAGCTACTGTTCTGAGGGAGTCTGGCAAGAAGCTGTCCTTAACAACTGAACCAGTTTCATAAGTCTAGAAGGAAAAATGGCTGCCATTCTTACACTCTCAGCTTTATTACAGTGGAAAGAAACAACGAGGACTAGCACATTTTGCTACAATTATGCAAATTAAACATACAGTTTATGTGGAATCTAAAAAATCATTGGCTTGGAATATGCAGGTTTTGTATTGTCAGACTGCTCAAACTGCTCAAGATTAAAATGTGCTCTTCTCTCTACCACCGATTCAATTGTCTATTTTGTGTACATTAGGCCATGTCATATTCATTTCATACTTGTACATCTCCATCTTCATCTTTTATACAAAGCCCTGTTTTTCTGCTTTACCTGTTGCCTTTGTTGATCTGGCCTACCTATGACCTCTGTTGTGGTCTGTGTGGCTGCAATTATTCTTCATTTTATCTCGGCTCTGAGGGCCTATCTGATCCTAACCTTTGAATAATCCTAAAGCCTCTTTTTTGGGGGGTTCTCTGAATGGAGCACATGTGGTATTTATTCCCTTCATTTCGGTTTTGCAGAGCCCACAAACTCACAGCCAACATTACTGCACGCTATAGATGCAGGGTTAAGAAGCAAGACACTGTTCTGGATGAGGTGTTCAGAGGAGAACAGCTCTCCAGAACTACAGGTCTTTACAGGGGACATTTTACAATAAGTTCTGCTATGTCTACATGATTTTGTGATTTTAGTTTTTCCGAATAAATACACAATTTAGGCTCATTGGAAAAACATGCCTGTGGCGACATTTCTGAAAAAATTATATTATGTTGCTTGCATGATTTGCGACACTTTCAAATTGAAATGCTCATTAAGTGGCACTAAAATTGTGTTTAATTTTCTCACAAACAGGAGAATGTGAATGCCTTGGTGTTTTATTGTGTTGCTTATTGTACATAATTGTGGCAGTTTGTAAACAAATTGTCTGTTGGTTGGCACTAAAAGGTTACTCTTCTATGGAGTTGAAAATAGCATACCACCTACACTAAACATAACCGATACAGTTAACAAAAGCAAATGTCAGATAATAACTCATTTGCTGAAGAAACTGCTATTTTAGCTTGTTTCTACAAGTCTTCAAGTTGAGCCCTTTTATCGTGACTTATGTTTCACGGGACTCCTGAACACTCCATATTGGAAGTGCAGCACTTTACCAGGTGAGCTACTGAGCAAGTTTACTACACCAGAAAAGCCCCAAAAAAATGGAGCTTGTTATGTGATGCAAACGTCAAAATGTATTATGCTCATAAATTATGCAGTATTTTTTTCAGTAATTGTATTGTGTAAGGAACCATGCAAAAATAAGTCTTTAATATTAATCAATAATCTGCCCCGCAATCATAATTTCTTTGAAAAAGAATAAAAGTTGTTTGTGTTTTACTGCCACTAGTGTTCATTTCAGCTGGAAACTGCAGTCAATTATATTTATGGAAGCATAGTTTTTTTGTAGTTTTGCCAAAAACGTTGGTAGATGCACATTTTCCAATATGCCTAAATTTAATAAATTTCCAGTTTCAGTGGGTTCAATTTTTTTAAAGGAGGAAGTTCCAAGAACAATCTCCAAAGGAGCTCTGAGGAGGAAGTAGAGGTTTGTCTGTAGAGGTCTGAGTTGGAACAGATTGGAAGTGAAATAGATGTCTGGAATATTTTCATTTTAGTTGTGCTTGTGATTAAGCTTTCAGTGTTTTTATCTTAACTCTGCATATTCATATACAAATGTGTGTGATCTTGTAGCATGTGATGGCACATACGTGACCTGAACAGGTGCTGCATTCACACATCACCTCTCAATGATTAGCTCTGACCTGTTGTCAAGGCTGCCTGAAACAGAATCAGCAGCTTGATTACAGCATTTTATCTGTCCCAGCTGGCCTGTTCTCAGCTAAGATTGAGATAACCCTAGCTACCGATCAAAAAATATACCAATATAATATCTCAGACCAGCATTTCATCAAATACTGACGCTGACTACAAAAGCCAAAAAGAAAATAAATCAATAAATAAAAACACCGAATGTTAACTATCATCTAAATCATATAAATCAACTACCAACTTACAATGAAAAATAACACAAAGACACGGAGGGGTCCCTCAGGATTTAGTAGTCACATTTCTCTACTAAATATCAATGGGCATAATGGATTTAACTGGTTAAAATTAAGCATAATTGAGAAAATATGTGTGCTCTGTATCATCTACAAGTGGCACTGTTTCACAAATTGCATACTGCCGGATTAGGTGCTACATTTGATGAAAAACATTGAAAAAGAAGATAGTATCTGGCCTCTTCATGGCCTCATGGGATAGTAAAGTGTCAATCAAATACACACATCAAAATCTGGGTGCTTTTCACCTACTGTTTTTTTTTTTATTATTAATAATTTTTATTTGAATATAGTACTCTTTTGGCATACTATATAGCAGTGGTTCCCAACCCTGGTCCTGGAGGCACCCCAACACTGCACATTTGGCAGGTCTCCTTTCTTTCACACACCAGTTTCAGGTCTTGGAGTCTCTACTAATTAGCTGATGACCTGAATCAGGTAAAACTCACCTGCCTGTAGCTTCCTAGTAACCGTTCAGACCTTGATTAGCTTGTTCAGGGGTGTTTGATTAGGGTTGAAGCAAACCTCTGCAGGGCTGCGGCTCTCCAGGACCGGAGTTCGCCACCCCTGGTATAGAACTAGGTATATTTGGATGTAGTGTGACTACTAAGATTTAAATATGTAATACAATATGGCCCTGAGGGTGATTTTTCACCTATATGAACTACTTTAATTTTGAATTTACTTTGGTTTATAATAGTCCTAACTATTTAGGCCTAAAACAGGGAAATTGTTTCAAAACACACTTTAGTGTACATACTGTCATTTTAGCAAACTTCTAATCATATTTAATATATTTTAATCAGATTTTCACTATGATTGAAAAGGACAGTTCACCTAAAAATGAAAATTGTGTCATCCTTGAGTTACAAACCTGTATGAGTTTCTTTCTTCTGCTGAACATAAAAGAAAATATTTTGTGGAATGTGGGTGACAGTTACTGGTAGCCAGTGTCATCCATAGTAATTTTCCTCATTCTGTAGAAGTTAGTGATTGTTACCAACATTCTTCAAAATATCTTCTTTTGTGTTTAGCAGAAGAAACTCATATAGTTTGGAACAACTTGAGGGTGAGTAAATGATGACAGAATTTCCATTTTTGGGTGAACTGTACCTTTAATGGTGAAGAGAACACCACATTTCAAAGAGCACATGCAGGATTCATTAAGATTACAGTAAATCTGTATCAATATTTTTCACATCTGTTTGCCTTTACTACACTGTGAACTTTAGAGGGGGTGGCATATGGACAAACAGATATAGAGACAAACGTTCATTTTGAACTATGCTGCTCCTCTCAGCACGTTCACTATTGAAATACCCCACTGCCACACATTTCTAGATGTGGCTGGTGAGTCGTGATGCAGTGGCGCCTATGACTCAGTCATCTCATGGTCAAAGCTATAGATTACTATTTCCGTTGCAGATTAGTCGTCATAGGAAAAAAAAATTGCATAACCTCGCCTCAATTTTCTATCACGTCATTTCCGTCTGAAGAGTAACTGTGAGGGAATACGCGAAACGCAAGAGCCATCACTAGCGCTCGACGGCAGGTCCTTCTTCAAATCATTCATGCCGACGAGAGGGAGAGGGTGCTTGTCACATGAGAAGAAGTTGTATTTTAGATCTACAGTCGCAACTTTTAGTGATCCATGTATAAAGATACACATTTTTAGTTTGTAGTCGTCCTCACATGCATCGGCTGAGCCACGCGAAATAATCGCGAGCCAATCACGAACCACACCCTGGTTGTAGAGCGGCGAAAGACTGACTGTATTTCTTTTCCAGATTGTGAATTTCTTATATTGTCCACAGACGTTTTAGCTTCCCTGTTGTTCAAACTATACGTGTTTTTTCTTCACACACCAGCGCGCAAGCCTAATACAATAGCCCTTCGCCAAGTTAACATTCGCTCTGAGTTTCACCATATAAAAGTGTTTAGGTGCTTGCTTAAGGGTGAAGAGCACCTTGTGTTGCCCCCGAAGGTGCACGGGTGGAGTGGGGTGACACAGTTGCGAAGTATGATTCATCCTCGCGCTCTGTCACGCCCCATCTTCCCGTCTGCTTTCCATGGTGCACCTGTAACTCGCCTGACCTCAAATCTAGCTAATTTCTACTTACACACTGCTGTTAAAACTAAGCTATGCAAAGCTCATCTGTTACATAGACTCCTGCTTTCTATGCAGTAGAGGCCACTGCAACCAGACGTTTTTATCCAGCAAAGGACACTTGAAGACTCACGCGTTCGTAAACTGCAAAATCACTACGATTTTAGGGAGTTATTAATCACACGTTACGGGTAGTGAAAGGTCCTGAAGCTGTGACTCAAAGGAAAGGAAAGTGTCGAAAACGTCTGTGGATGCACAAAGGAAATCGTCCAGCCCTTACTTTAGCATGGCTTGTTCCTTATCCTCTTCCTCCCTTTGGCGAACCATCACTGCCATGATGGTTTTCCTTTCCTCCTCCGTGAGGTGACTCAAGTCCGGCATATCAGGCATGGGAGCCGGCACGGTGGGTGGGCGAGGGCCGCTTTGGGGCCCTACCGAGGCGGACATCTTTTGCCCCGCTCCCAGGCGTATCTATTGGCAGTATCCCGAGCGCTGGAGCCACACCTCACGACATGGTCCACGGATAGAGCAGCGGTCTTTGAGAATAGTGCAAATCTCGCATGGTTTCAGGCACCCACAACTGTGCTTTTGTTTCTCTTCGTGCCCCCCGCCTCTCCCCTCCACCTCCAGTTACGAGAAGCCCATCATCTCTACGCCCGGAGACGACGCAAACAGGGGGACCCCGGCATTAGCTAGCAGATCTGTGATTTCCCCCTTCACTGAACCGGGGGCTCGGTATTGGGCGACGGCAAAGGCGGAGTCCGTCTCTCGCCCACTGATCTCTCTCGCTCTTTCGTCGCTCTCAGATTAAAAAAGAAGAGTCAATGGAAATGCAGATCCGCGAGCGCGTATACCACTCTCACCCACCGACCGCACGCTTACTCGTATGTGAAATGGGCAAAAAAGCATCTATATGAGAGTCATACCCCACTTTCCTTTTTCATATCAGTGTGTGTGCTCGACCGCGCACACCTTGTTCGCGTCTTACCTGGTAATAGTTCAGTGCGCGCTTTCGTCAGGCTATTTTTAGAATCGCTCCCGCGCACCTCTTAAATACAATCAATTCGTCTGTTTTGTCTGACTGAGGGATGTCTGTAATGAAATTATCCGCGAAAGTCTCATGTGTGCATGACATAAATCATCTCTAGACATCTTTAAAAATATAGTAGGCTACTGGAGCCCAGATGGTCTGTATAACTGTAAAATTGAATGCATAGTCGAGTTGAAACCAGGTTTTGAGAATAAAAAGAAAATCCAACAGTAATACAGTTTATACGATTAGTTATTTCGTAAAATGGAGATGATTTACATGTAAATCATTTACGAGTGCGAACTGTAGTTGTTTTCAGAACCCTGGACAGCGACACGTGACGCAGAACAGTCACTAATTTCACTACACTGTAAAAAAGTGTTAGCGTGCAATTAAGTTGTTGTTTTTTGAATCATGACTGTTTACTTTTATCTTTTGACTTCTTTTTGCATCACTGAATCTTTATTTTCCTGTTTATCATTGTACAGCTGCTTTGAAACAAACTGTATTGTGGCTACAAAATCGCTATATAAGATGACGTGACTTTTTTCCATGGACAATGAAAGGAGAAATCTTTGTAGAATCTTTATATAACCCTTTATCATACATAGAAGACAGTTCAAAGTTACCACATCTGTCAAGCTCCAAAAGACTGCCAAAAAACTGGAATGTTCTTCAAATCCCTACTCAGCATGTCAGTGCTGTTGGGCCAAGTTTGACACCACGTCATTGATTTTCACATGGTGCGGTAACTGCACATGATGCAGCAGTTTCAATATGTAGAATGATATTTGAGAACTGTCATGAAAGAAAAAAGTTTTCCATGAATAACGACTTATATTTCAGCCTCAGTAGAGAGCCATCACATGGACTTTAAAAATAGCGCACACATACTATGGACATTTCAGGGTGGGAAATTAACTCGCACCACCTGCAAAGTTCAGGTAGGTTTTTTTTATTATCTAGTATTAGTTATTTAATTGTTATTACAATGGCAGATTATTTTTCTCAAATTGACCTTTTTGTTATTTGAATATGTTCCATGAGGTAAATTTATAATGCTAATAAAGCCTGCACACAAAAATCAGTAAACAGCCACTGTTATGATTGGCCAATGTCAGTATTGCGCTTAAGTAAATGTTTTTGAAAACAGCAACATTTATGAAACTGCTTACTTACGATTGGTTTGCGATGCAGCTGCTGTCAGATTCAGTACCATAGATGGTATAGATGGTTGCTTCACCTTTCAATAAAAGTTTCTTTGCATACACTTCATTACACTGTGCTTCATTTACAAAACAATATGCAGCCAAATGCTCTGAACAAACATCTAATCCTCTAACACAATGCGGAATTTACCTGGGTTTTTACCCAGGTAAGTTTGGGTTTAGTTTGAGCAGACTCTGAGTTTTCGGGTTCAAGAATGTGAGTTGGTTTTGAGTGGGTTTCGTCACCATAGTAAGTTATGCTACACGGCAAACTGTTGCCGCGGGTTGTTCACTTTTCATAGGTTGTTTTTCATGTCCGCGGGTTGAAGCGACCTCAGCCCCTGGAATGCGAATTTACCAAGGGAAACAATGTGTATTTTACCCCCCTGAACGCGATTTTTAATGGGGGACCCCCTCGAAACACCATTGGGCTAGTTTTGAGTAGCAAATGGGCGGGTTATGTTGTGAAAACCTGGCAACTCTGGTTGTGAACCCACTCCTGCTCTATCTGGGTTGGATTTGTTTGGTACTCTGGATTTGTTTGGTAACCCAGCCAGCTTCATGCAACAGGTCGCTCGAAACAGTCGAAACAGTTTTTTTTTTATTGAATCACTCAACATTTTACACCCCAGAGGATGAAGACAAGAAAAAAAGATTACAATGAAGAAAATTAGACGAAGAAATGGAAATGTTTACATAATACACTTAACAGCTTTCTGATTTCAAAATTAGAAACAAATGCAAATAAAATAAATTATGCAAATATATTCGCCCATGTGACGTCACATATCCCACAATATCCAAGCGAAACATTTTCTGAACTTGGTTAAATGCTTTATATAGCCTTTAACGAGGAGGACATTTTAAGCTGTGAAACCTACAGGATGTTGAAAAATGCAGATGTTTCAGAAACTCTTTGGCATTCGATTCGATTACGTTTTGAGGATTGCAACGAGCAGTAAACACACATGCTAGTGCTTCAAATACTCAAATATGACAAATTCACACACACTCATGGCTGGAGGGTGTGGTGAGGGCAAAACATACCCTGATGACTGTTATGGTGTATAACAAAGAGTGCAAGGCTGACAACTTTTGCTATACATAGCTACTTTACATTTGCTAAGTATAGTAGGTGTATGTTAGTACATGGAACACAATCGTATTGTGTCTACTTCTTTATAAGAATGTCAATTCGTTTAAAATAACAAGTAGCCTAGCTGTGGAAAAGGATGGTTATTGTTTCTTATTGTTCTTCACAAGGTGTCACTCTCTTCTATACTGCTCAATGAAATATTGTATCCGAATAGTAAAATAAACATTACATAAATACAGCAGTTATATACACTCAAGTGCACTTCTAAATGACTACAAGAACTAACGCAGTGTAGCACCAGCAGAATTAAAAAAAAAATAAAATAAAATTATCTTGCGCCCTCTGTTGATGGGACACTGCATTACACAGAAATATACCCCGAGGCTAGTTGTCACCTTGTACTCCATTTAATATTTTTAAAGGTACTTTTTTTTTTTTTGTCTGTTCATGTTAAATTTACAAAACCTGTAGCTGTGGTTGCCAGGAGATTACCGTGGCAAAAATACAATGACAATGTTATAATTATGAGATGATATTTTGATGACTGTATATTTTAGTTTCTGACACAATATGAGAAAAATTGTAGCGCTCCAAATAGGAAAAAATAAATAATTTTAATGCAGGTGCGTGGCGCCAAAGCAATAATTGAAAACGAACAAGGGAGCAAACAAGCACCCTGAATCCAATTCAGGCTGAAAAGTCTAGCAAAAAAAGTTTTATTTCTTTTTTATACAATTTTTTCCATTGTTTATTTATTTCACGTGTTGGAGCAGTATAGTCGTAATATTATATGGTGGTGAGGGTGTGTAAACCTTTTTTAATCTATTACCCAGATTGGCATGCAAGTCATTGAAGCAGCACTGGAGATCACTAAAGGCCATAATGTATGTTTAGAGTTACTTTAAGTCATCACTTTTAAAAAAATCAGTTTTTGACATGTACATACATGTATAAAGTAAAAATAGCCACCAACACTTTAGAAGACAGACATGCATTCTAAGTTGTGAACTTGACACACAACTCAAAAATACATCCATTTGCGATGAAATACCACAATGACCAAGTTTCATATAAAAATCTTTCAAAAGCAAATTTGAAAGAAAAAAATAGACATTGACATTTAACTGTAGACATACAAAACAATCTAATTTTCATATTAGATTCAGGTAAGTGCTCTTTAGATTCAAAAAAAATTTTCCAGACGGATTTTACTGCAATCTTCTGGATGTCGTGTTGCAATACCGTTGCGAAGAAGCATTTCTGTGTATGGTGGCCAGAAAGTGTCATCAGTAGTCACATAAGGGTCATGAGGAGTTTCTAATGATTTATTGGTCAATCTCTGCAATAAAAAGATAAATGTGCATGATTAAATGTCTTAAATAAATAGGGTTAGTAAAAAAAGCACTTTGTATCAGGAAACAATTTATTTTCCACTCTATTATTTCTATTTTCTTCCAGGTAAGAGGATTAAAAACAAAGTAACCATATAAAAAGAGATATTTTATTGTGATGGGTATCTGAACATACCTCGATAATCTCACTCAGTGAAATCAGGTTAATCTCTGCATCATATGCAGCAGCCTGAAAAATACAAATCCAATATTCATAAGCAACCTAAAAAAAACAAACCTAAATCCAATATTCTCTGATCTAATTGAGAGGGTGAAGGTGGCACCTACTCTTTTTTTCTTTGTGCCGTTTCCTTGGGGATCAGGAAGTGGGAAGTGCTCAGCTAACATGTCGCTCAGCATTTCCATGAGACTGCTGTGATAGTCCTTCAGATTGTTAATTTTTCTCTTCATATCCTGCAAAACGCTGCAAAATAAATTAATAAATAAAAATAAAATAATAGTAATAATGAGGAAAAACAGCATTGGATTAAAAATGTACTACACACTACATATCAAAAGTTTGAAATAACTAATTTTTTAACATTTATTACAATTTAAAATATATTTATTGTCACGCATTTGGTGCTAATTTAGTATAGGTGCTCAGTTATTAATAATTGTGCTTATTATAAATGTTGAAAAGAGTTTTGTGATGCATCTTTTTCAGGATTATCTGATGAATAGAAAATGCAAAAGAACAGCATTTATTTGAATTGGAAATCTTTTGTAAGTTTTAATTGATTAATTTAATGCATCCTTTTTAAATCTAACCCACAGTTTCTACAAAAAATATCAAGAAGTAGCTCGTGTTCCATTCTAACATGATGTTACACCAGGCTTGACATCATAAACACCAAACAGAACGTGCCATTCATTCTTACATTCGTTGTAACCTAATGAAAGAACATTCCTAAAAACAATTTCCTTTCTGTATTTCACAGATAAAAATGTACAGGTTTGGAATGGCATGATGATGACTACATAAATGATGACCATTTTTAACTCTTGGGTAAATATCCTTTTAAGCAGATGTAAAAATTTGATTTTTAACCCTTGCATAAAACTAACAACCTGTGCTCTGATTTCTCGTTTTCACGTTGCAATCTGGTGATTTTCTCACACACTGCATTCAATGCTTCTTTCTTCTCTGCTTGCCATGTCTGCTCCCTGAAAAACATTTTCAGAGTGATCACAGAGTTTACACGTTTATATTATACCTGAATGAATTTTTTGTGATATAAATCATGTCTTAATAAGAAAAAGTTCATTTAAACTTAACAATCTTATGAGTTATTATTAACTAAAACCATAAAAAGAACGTCTTTACTTGAAATGAAGCAAATGTTAACAAAAAAATAATAATTA